CCGGGGGAAAGGGAGAGGAGGACAGCGGGAAAGGGAGAGGAGGATAGGGGGAAACGGAGAGGAGGACAGGGGGAAAGGGAGAGGAGGATAGGGGGAAAGGGGGAGGAGGACAGGAGGAAAGGGAGAGGAGGACAGGGGGAAAGGGAGAGGAGGACAGGGGGAAAGGGAGAGCAGGATAGGGGGAAAGGGAGAGGAGGATAGGGGGAAATGGAGAGGACGACAGGGGGAAAGGGAGAGGAGGATAGGGGGAAAGGGAGTGGAGGACAGGGGGAAAGGGAGAGGAGGACAGGGAGAAAGGGAGAGCAGGATAGGGGGAAACGGAGAGGAGGACAGGGGGAAAGGGAGAGGAGGATAGGGGGAAAGGGAGAGGAGAACAAGGGGAAAGGAAGAAGAGGATAGGGGGAAAGGGAGAGGAGGACAGGGGGAAAGGGAGAGGAGGACAGGGGGAAAGGGAGAGGAGGATAGGGGGAAAGGGGAAGGGGACAGAAGGAAAGGGAGAGGAGGATAGGGGGAAAGGGGGAGGAGGACAGGGGGAAAGGAAGAGGAGGATAGGGGGAGAGGGAGAGGAGGACAGGGGGAAAGGGAGAGCAGGATAGGGGGAAAGGGAGAGGAGGATAGGGGGAAATGGAGAGGAGGACAGGGGGAAAGGGAGAGGAGGATAGGGGGAAAGGGAGAGGAGAACAAGGGGAAAGGGACAGGAGGATAGGGGGAAAGGGAGAGGAGGATAGGGGGAAAGGGAGAGGAGGACAGGGGGAAAGGGAGAGCAGGACAGGGGGAATGGGAGAGGAGGAGAGGGGGAAAGAGAGAGGAGGGGGGAAAAGGGAGAGGAGGACATTGGGAATGGGAGGGGAGGATAGGGGGAAAGGGAGAGCAGGATAGGGGGAAAGGGAGAAGATGACAGGGGGAAAGGGAGAGGAGGACAGGGGGAAAGGGAGAGGAGGACTCTGGGAAAGGGAGAGCTGGATAGGGGGAAAAGGAGAGGAGGACAGGGGGAAAGGGAGAGCAGGATAGGTGGAAGGGGAGAGGAGGACAGGGGGAAAGGGAGAGGAGGACAGGGGGAAAGGGAGAGCAGGATAGGGGGAAAATGAGAGGAGGACAGGGGGAAAGGGAGAGGAGGACAGGGGGAAAGGGAGAGGAGGACAGGGGGAAAGGGAGAGGAGGACAGGGGGAAAGGGAGAGGAGGACAGGGGAAAAGGGAGAGGAGGATAGGGGGAAAGGGAGAGGACGACAGGGGGAAAGGGGGAGGAGGATAGGGGGAAAGGGAGAGGAGGACAGGGGGAAAGGGAGAGGAGGAGAGGGGGAAAGGGAGAGGAGGATAGGGGGAAAGGGAGAGGAGGACAGGGGGAAAGGGAGAGGAGGATAGGGGGAAAGGGGGAGGAGGACAGGGGAAAGGGAGAGGAGGATAGGGGGAAAGGGAGAGGAGGACTGGGGGAAAGGAGAGCAGGATAGGGGGAAAGGGAGAGGAGGACAGGGGGAAAGGGAGAGCAGGATAGGGGGAAAGGTAGAGGAGGATAGGGGGAAAGGGAGAGGATGACAGGGGGAAAGGGAGAGGAGGATAGGGGGAAAGGGAGATGAGGACTGGGGGAAAGGGAGAGGAGGATAGGGGGAAAGGGAGAGGAGGATAGGGGGAAAGGGAGAGGAGGATAGGTGGAATGGGAGAGGAGGACAGGGGGAAAGGGAGAGGAGGATAGGGGGAAAGGGAGAGGAGGATAGGGAGAAAGGGAAAGGAGGACAGGGGGAAAGGGAGAGTAGGACAGGGGGAAAGGGAGAGGAGGATAGGGGGAAAGGGAGAGCAGGACAGGGGGAAAGGGAGAGCAGGATAGGGGGAAAGGGAGAGGAGGACAGGGGGAAAGGGAGAGGAGGACAGGGGGAATGGGAGAGCAGGATAGGGGGAAAGGGAGAGGAGGATAGGGGGAAAGGGAGAGGAGGATAGGGGGAAAGGGAGAGGAGGATAGGGGGAAAGGGAGAGGAGGATAGGGAAAGGGAGAGGAGGATAGGGAGAAAGGGAGAGGAGGACAGGGGGAAAGGGAGAGCAGGATAGGGGAATGGGAGAGGAGGACAGGGGGAAAGGGAGAGGAGGATAGGGGGAAAGGGAGAGGAGGATAGGGAGAAAGGGAGAGGAGGACAGGGGGAAAGGGAGAGGAGGATAGGGGGAAAGGGGGAGGAGGACAGGGGGAAAGGGAAAGAAGGATAGGGGGAATGGGAGATGAGGACAGGGGGAAAGGGAGAGGAGGATAGGGGGAAAGGGAGAGGAGGATAGGGAGAAAGGGAGAGGAGGACAGGGGGAATGGGAGATCAGGATAGCGGGAAAGGGAGAGGAGGACAGGGGGAAAGGGAGAGGAGGATAGGGGGAAAGGGAGAGGAGGATAGGGGGAAAGGGAGAGGAGGACAGGGGGAAAGGGAGAGGAGGACAGGGGGAAAGGGAGAGGAGGAGAGGGGGAATGGGAGAGGAGGATAGGGGGAAAGGGAGAGGAGGACAGGGGGAAAGGGAGAGCAGGATAGGGGGAAAGGGAGAGGAGGATAGGGGGAAAGGGAGAGGAGGACAGGGGGAAAGGGAGAGGTGGACAGGGGGAAAGGGAGAGGAGGTCAGGGGGAAAGGGAGAGGAGGATAGGGGGAAAGGGAGAGGAGGATAGGGGGAAAGGGGGAGGAGGACAGGGGGAAAGGGAGAGGAGGATTGGGGGAAAGGGAGAGGAGGACAGGGGGAAAGGGAGAGGTGGACAGGGGGAAAGGGAGAGGAGGACAGGGGGAAAGGGAGAGCAGGATAGGGGGAAAGGGAGAGGAGGATAGGGGGAAAGGGGGAGGAGGACAGGGGGAAAGGGAGAGGAGGATTGGGGGAAAGGGAGAGGAGGACAGGGGGAAAGGGAGAGGTCGACAGGGGGAAAGGGAGAGGAGGTCAGGGGGAAAGGGAGAGGAGGATAGGGGGAAAGGGAAAGGAGGACAGGGGGAAAGGGAGAGTAGGACAGGGGGAAAGGGAGAGGAGGATAGGGGGAAAGGGAGAGCAGGACAGGGGGAAAGGGAGAGCAGGATAGGGGGAAAGGGAGAGGAGGACAGGGGGAAAGGGAGAGGAGGACAGGGGGAATGGGAGAGCAGGATAGGGGGAAAGGGAGAGGAGGATAGGGGGAAAGGGAGAGGAGGATAGGGGGAAAGGGAGAGGAGGATAGGGGGAAAGGGAGAGGAGGATAGGGGGAATGGGAGAGGAGGACAGGGGGAAAGGGAGAGGAGGATAGGGGGAAAGGGAGAGGAGGATAGGGAGAAAGGGAGAGGAGGACAGGGGGAAAGGGAGAGCAGGATAGGGGGAATGGGAGAGGAGGACAGGGGGAAAGGGAGAGGAGGATAGGGGGAAAGGGAGAGGAGGATAGGGAGAAAGGGAGAGGAGGACAGGGGGAAAGGGAGAGGAGGATAGAGGGAAAGGGGGAGGAGGACAGGGGGAAAGGGAGAGGAGGATAGGGGGAATGGGAGAGGAGGACAGGGGGAAAGGGAGAGGAGGATAGGGTGAAAGGGAGAGGAGGATAGGGAGAAAGGGAGAGGAGGACAGGGGGAATGGGAGAGCAGGATAGGGGGAAAGGGAGAGGAGGACAGGGGGAAAGGGAGAGGAGGATAGGGGGAAAGGGAGAGGAGGATAGGGGGAAAGGTAGAGGAGGACAGGGGGAAAGGGAGAGGAGGACAGGGGGAAAGGGAGAGCAGGAGAGGGGGAATGGCAGAGGAGGATAGGGGGAAAGGGAGAGGAGGACAGGGGGAAAGGGAGAGGAGGACAGGGGGAAAGGGAGAGGAGGATTGCGGGAAAGGGAGAGGAGGACAGGGGGAAAGGGAGAGGTGGACAGGGGGAAAGGGAGAGGAGGTCAGGGGGAAAGGGAGAGGAGGATAGGGGGAAAGGGAAAGGAGGACAGGGGGAAAGGGAGAGTAGGACAGGGGGAAAGGGAGAGGAGGATAGGGGGAAAGGGAGAGCAGGACAGGGGGAAAGGGAGAGCAGGATAGGGGGAAAGGGAGAGGAGGACAGGGGGAAAGGGAGAGGAGGACAGGGGAATGGGAGAGCAGGATAGGGGGAAAGGGAGAGGAGGACAGGGGGAAAGGGAGAGGAGGACAGGGGGAAAGGGAGAGGAGGACAGGGGGAAAGGGAGAGCAGGATAGGGGGAAAGGGATTTGTGGACAGGGGGAAAGGGGGAGGAGGATAGGGGGAATGGGAGAGGAGGACAGGGGGAAAGGGAGAGCAGGATAGTGGGAAAGGTAGAGGAGGACAGGGGGAAAGGGAGAGCAGGATAGGGAGAAAGGGAGAGGAGGACAGGGGGAAAGGGAGAGGAGGACAGGGGGAAAGGGAGAGGAGGATAGGGGGAAAGGGAGAGGAGGACAGGGGGAAAGGGAGAGGAGGAGAGGGGGAAATGGAGAGGAGGATAGGGGGAAAGGGAGAGGAGGACAGGTGGAAAGGGAGATGAGGATAGGGGGAAAGGGAGAGGAGGACAGGGGGAAATAGAGAGGAGGAACTACGGGGAATGACGTGGAACTGAGGGGCATGAGCGGGGGGTACTGTGGGAAAGACAGAGAGGAGGAGGGGAAAACGCATGTGGGCAGTGTGGGAAATAGGGAGGATGTGTGGCGGAAATGTAGACGATGAGAGCGGGATACGGAGGGGCGGAGAGGAGCAGAGTGGGATACGGGGAGGTGGGGAGGGGGTATATGACAGCAGGAGCAGGCGAAACGGAGAGCATATCCCTTAATTCGTCAGAGCGGGATAAGGAGAGATCGTTCTTATTTCCTCGATGTCCGGCGCATATCCCTTGCTGCCCCGGCGCCTGGCCCGTGCATTCCCTCACATCGTACCCCTTGCCTTCCCCGTACATATCCCCCACTCCCTCCCTCATGACCTTTATATTCCTCAACGCTCTCCTTCCCTGCATTGCCATCGCCTGTTCCTGCGTGTCCCCTCGCCTTGGCCGGTACTTCCCCTCCGCTTATGCTCAACTTGCCATCCCTTGCTCCCCACCATGCCTATCCCTCCATGTACCTGTGCCTCATCGTATCCCTGCGCCGAACCATCCAGCGGTGCTCCCTTGCATTCCCTGGACCAGTTGCTTGCAGTTTCCCCTCGTGTGTCCCTAGCTCTTCGCGGCATAGCCTTGTTTTCTTCGCGTCAAATCCTTGCTTTTCCCTCTGCGTATCTCTCGCCTAGACATCGCCTATCCTGTCGCTTCGCAACGAGGGGAAAAGAAAGCGCGACGAGGGGGAGGGAGGAGCGCGACGAGGAGGAGGGAGAAGCTCGACGGAATTGAAAGTGTCGCCCTGGGAAGAGTACAGCGAAGGGCGGGAGTGCGCGCTTTCGGAAGAGTGGCAGGCGACGCGAAACAGAATAGGCGGGACAAAAGAGGGGAGAATCGACGAGAGAGTGAGTTGCCTTTTCGGAAGTGCGGGGGATCTTTTCTTGCCTTGTCGCTGCCGCCATGGACTCCAGTCCCAAGAACCCAAACACTCTGTATCTTGATTCTCATCAGGGTGTGGCTTTGTGGAGGCACTTTGTTGTGCCACATCGCAGGCGTTGGTGGGCTGTTAGGTGGCCAATCCACACCCGTCGTTTTTTGTTTTCAACCAGTCGCCCAATTGTAGGGAAACCCTGTTGGCGTGGGTTGGGTTGGCGACGGATAAAAAATCAAAGACTTTGAGTCTTGGTCTTTTTTGGGTCACGCGCTTTAAAGTCGTTGACCCAAAACGTACAAGATTAATAAAGGGTTTTTAGGTTAGCGGTAACCCTTACTGGAGTTTTACTCTTTTGAGTAACATTTAGCCCTTTCACGGAAGGGTTTCTCATTGTTCCAGCCCTCCCGGGCCAGTTTTTTGTTCTTTGAGGTTAGTTCGCACCACAGAAAACCACGCGTCACAATCTCCTTGCTCCGTCACTTTGGGGCTACTGAACTCTGTTTTCCTGCGATATTGTGGGATCTGTAGTGCTACTGAAAATGGCTGACAACATTCGGGCAGGCTAGCTGGCAAGAAAAAAACTAAAACCCATAGGGGCGAGTATGCCATTCTGGTGGGCATCAACCCTAAATTCGTGGCCCTTTTGCGAGTTTAGGGTTGATGCCATCCAGAATGCCATGCCAGGCCCATAAGGGTTTTATTGTTTCTGCCCTCTGCCCAAGATTAAGGAGATTGTTACACGTGGCTCGCTGTGGAGAGAACTAACCTCGAAAAACAAAAAACTGTCCCTGGGGGTTTGATCGGCGAGAAACCCTTCCGTAATAGGGGCTAAACGTGATCCCAAAGAGTAAAACGCTAGTAAGGGTTACCGGTAATCTAAAAACCCATTAATAAAGATGAACAGGGCAAAAAGTTGAGCTGGAGAAAGGACACGGGCGTGGAGGAGTGGTGTGAGGGTGGCAAGAGTGGGCGAACACAGCACACTACGAAAACCAATCAGAACGAGCATACAAATTATGACAGAACCAAAACGTTCGCAAACAACGACTTGGGGAAATCGAGGGTGGGGAAAAGGAAAGTGGGGGCGCGCGCAAGGCGCAGGGGGGAATGGGGGAAGAATACCTGGTCAGAGCGGCACACGGCACAGCGTGGAAACACTGGAAACAGCTGGAAGGAAGGGCACGTGACTCTGGGTTGCGCATCCTGGCTGAGTTGCGCAACTCGCTTGGAAGCGCCAAGCAACTCGACTTGCGCATATCAGGGCGTGGTACAACTCATATCACAATTATGTCTTCAAACTGAAATTCGAGAAGCTGATGCGGTTGTAGATGTTTAGACCGTTTTCAACGCGTTGAATGCGAGTTCAAGTCGCGTACCTCACTTGAAACGATTTGTACCGCGCCCTAATAAAAACTGGCGTGTGCTGTGCATGGTGCTTTCACTGCCTAGGGCGTAGTGGCGCTGGGCTGGGTTTGCACTCCGAAAAGTCCCAAAATGTATGGGGGGAAGTTCAAGTTTCTTTCCACTCAAACGCCTGGTGTGGCGGGGGCAGGGGCATAATCAGCTAGGGGTGGCGCAAGATTATCAACTGTTCCCCGTCGTTTTGTTGCGCAACTTTCGTTTTTGCTCTCACTCTGGGGAACTGGGTTACCAATCGGGGGGTTTCAAGATTAATAAACTTGAAAGGCAATTTCTGCAATTTGGGTCAACGGCTTTAAGTTATACCATGTGCATCAGAGTTTCCGCTCCTGATTCAAAACCGTGCCACTCTGTTTAAATTGGTTCTTGTTGTTGTTCGTTTCTGCTTCTACAGTATTCTAGAAAGGTTTGTTCCCTATTGTTCCGCTATAGCCCAATTTAGGAAAGCATCTTCTGTTTTTTGTGCGTTTGAATTGTTTTTTTCCGCCTTTCCGCCAAATGCCCTGCCACTAGGGGTTTTCGTTGTGATTTTTATTTGATTGTGTGGTTACTATTTCCATTGTAGACGACTTCTGGCGAACGAATCTGGCCACCTGGCGATTTTTTTGTTTCCCCAATCATGCACAACTGCCAGACGGAAGTAAAACTGACGTGGCAATTGCACCCGCCTAGCCACAGGATACTGATTTTTGTTTTTGTCAAGCACTGGCTCGCCACTGGATGCATTACGCGTTACATACTCGCTTTCTGAAGTTACACTGCCACTAATTCCCGTTAAAAAAAAAACATCATTACGCGAATTTCAGTGTCACGAGGCAATTTCTGACCAAAAACAAAAGCTTCTTAAAAAGCGTGGCTCCAACGCAGCTGGTCCACTCAAGGGTTCAGAGAGTCTAAAAAACGTGGCTGTTTCAGCCCTACTCTTATAACATCTTCTCTACTCTTCCTCGATATCCTAATTGTCAAACATATTTGTATATGTTTAGTAGACTACATAGGGTCTTGCCATAGAGAGTACAACCCACTAGCTATATCCACCTGTATTCTCTCATTCTAGTCATTCGTTCTAACTCTGAGATGGTATCAATAAGTAGGTGCTGCAGCAGCCCTCATGGCGGACTCGGTGCTGCGCTTTGACACAGAGGGTCGGCCGATTGAGTTCGACTCATGGCTTGTCGATCTCCGCCGTCACCTCACCGGTCAGCGGCAGGACGGCCACTCCCTGGCCGTCCACATTCACGGAACACTCCCCTGCCCTGACCCCCCTGTTTCTCTCCCTGCTGACCCCACGTCTGCTGACCGTGAGTTCGCCGTCGCTGCTGCCCTTGCCCGTGCTGTTTGGTTGTCGCGTAACGCTGTCTCTCAACTCGCGATTAGCCATGCCCTCCCCCTCTCAAAGCGCCCCTGCATTAAGTCGGCCAGGACTGCGCAGGAGTTCGTAGAGGCTGTTGTCGAGCGTTATTCCACCCCGTCCTCTGCCTCTGCCGGCCGCCTGATACTTTCCATGCTCTTCCCTGATCTCGCGTCTTTCCTCACTGTTGCTGACATGGCCACGCACCTGCACACGCTCGACGCTAGCTGGCGCGCTGCCTGCACTGAGGCCCAGCTTCGTGTGTTCCAGCCCCCTATCAGCTCTAACCTACACCTGCTTGCCACCCGCCTCCTCGATCGCCTTGCCACTGCCCGTGACCACTTTCTTAGTCTGCACCCCGCTGACCTCACCCTCTCCGACTTTGTCGACACCCTGTCTGACAAAGAGACCTGTCAGCGCTCTATCGCTCAGTCTAGCGGTACTGCGCCGGTCCCTATCTTTCAGGGTTGTGCTCCTACCCGGTACGCTGTTTCGACTTCGCTTCGGCCCTGCGCCGGACCTCCTCGACTGGCACAGTCTGCTCCGCCGTGGTGTTAGGATCTTTGATATGGACATGGATGAGATTAGCTCTGCATTGTATGTGCTGTATGTCGATGAATCTAGTGTGAATGGTTCCTATTACCCTGTGTTGCCTAGAGTAGGCCTCTCCAGTGTGCCTAGTTTAGGCTCCCCTGCTGCGTCAGGCGTAGGACCCTCTGCTTTGTTTAGCCTTGCCTCCACACTAGCTCCACCGCCCTCAGCCGCCACTGCCGCGCTCTCCTTCACTCTCGACTCGGGCACGTCTCGCTGCTTCTTTCCAGACCACACTACACTTATGCCGCTCGCCGTCCCTGACGCAGTTACCCTTGCAGACCCTTCCTCAGTTCCGGTAGTTGCCCGTAGTTCCACTACTCTCCCCTGTCCGGCAGTTCCTTCGGGCTCTCTTACAGGCCTGCGCATCCTCTCGTTCTCTCGGAATCTAATTGGTGTCGGCTGTCTCTAGGACCTCGGCGTCACCACTACGTTCACTGGTCACGACAGGTACGCTGTCTGTACCGAGGCTCCCACTAGTGCCCCACTCACCACGTTCCCCCGGGACCCGGTGTCTGGCCTGTTCACACTGCACATCGCGTCCCCCCCAGTTAGGACGCCCCCCCAGGTGGCAGCGTCTACCCAGGTTGCTGCGGCTTGCTTGTGTCGGTCGCTTACTCACCCATCGCTTCTGTGGCACCACCTTCTCGGTCACCCCGCTCTTACCCGTCTTCGTCCATATCTCAGCACGGTCTTGTCTTAGGTCTCCCTGAGTAGTTCCCCGTGCTCCCCTCCTCTGCAGCGCCTCCGTGCACCTCTGCGTCGAGAGCCGGCTCCGCCGTGCACCTCACTCCTCCTCGTTCCCCCCCACCACTGCACCGTTACAGACCCTGCACATGGACGTCTGGGGCCCTGCCTCCGTCCATGGGCCACGTTGTGAGCGTTACTTCCTAGTGCCTGTCGATGACTACACTCGCTACACCACCGTGTTTCCCCTGGAGGAGAAGGCCAACGTGCCAAATGTTCTTATCCTGTGGCTTGTCTCTGCGCGTGTGCACCGAGGTCTCCTTGTGTTGCGTCTTCACTCCGACCGTGGTGGCAAGTTCGTCTCTGGCTGCCTTGGTCGCTTCTGTCATACACAGGGCACCACCCAGACGTACACCCATACGAACTCCCCGCAGCAGTATGGGGTCGCTGAGCGACGCATCGGTTTGGTCATGGAGGTGGCTCGTACCTCCATGAACCATGCCGGTACACCCCATTTTCTTGTGGCCATTCGCCGTTCACTACGCTGCCCACCAACTTAACACGTGGCCGCACCCTCAGCGGTCGCAGGTTTCGCCGACCCTCCTCTGGATCAGGTCTCCTGGTGATGCATCTGTGTTCCACGTCTGGGGCTGCCTTGCTCACATTCGTGCCTCTGGCACGGACAAGCTCACTGCCTGTTATGTCCGCTGTGTCTTTCTCGGTTTCCCTCTCGACTCCTCTGACTTGCACTTCTACCACCCGCCGTCTCACCGTTTCTTTCACTCTCGCGATATCATAGCTTTCCCACCGTGGTCCTCCGTTCACTCCCCCCCAGTTCTTGGTTCCTCCCCCTCCCCCGGGTCGCCCCTGTTCCCCCCCCTTCCCACCCTGCCCCATCTGGTGTGTCTCACGTCACCCCCCTCCCGTTGGTTGCTCCTGTCGAGTTGTCTGCTAACTCTCGCGGCTCGGCGGAGTCCCTTCCCTTGCCTGTCCCTGCCCCGATCTCTCCTCCCCT